GTTGTCTCCTTAACCCAATCGCCCCGGGTACCCTTTACTACGCATGACACAAGTTTTTAGTGTCTTACATTCAGAATTTTATTAAACTACTGTTTGTTTATGTTATACCAATTATAATAGCATAAACTCTTTGCTAATAATCCATATTTTGATAGTATACAAGTTCTTAACTCTACAAGGAAATAAATAAAAAAATCCTGAATTTCCACTAGTGTGACTCATGCGACACATTTTGTCTTAGTATGTCATCATCCCTATTTTATCTATCACCCCTCAAAAATGTATGGAATTAAACATATAATACTCTCTATTATTGCTCAAACAAACCATAATTTTGTTTGGTTACAGAGCTATCAAATAGAAAATCAGACCCCTCCTGCTACACCCACCTGTCACATTGTCTCTTTCACAATTTGTTGATAGTTTCATTATATCTATAACCAATAGAAAGTCAAGGTTTTTATCTATCAAATGACATACTGTATGACATGTTCTGAACAGATAATCGTCAAGTTCATTCAGAGTAGCAACAATGTTCCCATGGGAAAGTTAACGACTAGCTTGGATGAATTTGTAATGGTTCTTGTCGCATAGTTAGAAAGCCAGAAAAATTTTGAGAGTTAAGCAAATTTGTCTACTTTTTGAATGTTATAAGTCTATATTCTCTGGTGCATTATTTGATTAAATAAAAATTGTTAAGTGACTTACTGTAATTACAATAAAAAATCAGGCTTAATTCTCCTTGACAATCGAGGGCAAGAAAAAAGAAGATTGGGTAAGTACTTCTCATTTTTCATATTTATTCTTTTTTTATTATTATAAAAGTAACTAAAATAAAAAATATGGATTTTTTAAGTTATTTAAGACTAGATTAGGTAAAATAAGTAATAATAATAATATAATTTAAATGGTTCACGAGATACACACGCAAGCAGCTCGTGGGAAATGTAATTCAATAGTGTAACGTGAGCTGCACGTTCCCTTAGTGATTTACAATTTATAATGGCACGGATAGTAGTTAGACACGGTTCAAAGGGCAATAAAACAATAAAATTGAATTATAAATAGATGTATAATGTTATGAACTTAGAGCTATTCGGGATAAATGAATGTAGTTTCATGTTACAAATAGAAGTCATTCTAGAAAGAAAAATGGTTAATATTGGTTTATTTTGATTTTTTTTTTTGTGGTTACAAGGTCGATCTATTTGACCGATCCTGTTTT